TTATTTATTGTTTTTATTTTATGTGTATGAGTGTATTGTCTGCATGTATGTGAGTGCACCCGTTTAAGGAGCTGGTTTTCTTGAATTAAAATAATGCAACCTGACATGTCATTTCTCTGCCTTAGTTTCTTCTATGACTTCCTATTGCTTTTTCATGGCTTGATCCCGCCCTCCTGTGCAGCCCCAGTTCTCATCAGGCCCCTCCTTGACTTCAATATTCTACAATTACCAAGCTTTGTTCACACACAATGTTCCACCTCTCCTGAAGCTGTGTGGGCTATGTACCTGGTAGAGGCTGCTATCATTCTCTTTGTCTAATAAATTCTAAGTCCCACTTCTGGCCTCGGCTCAGCTGTCATTTTCCATCTCTGATCAGATAAGATGTCCCTATTGTGTCCCCATGGCCCCTCCCAGTTCTGTGACAGCAGTGCAGCCAAGGGTCATTCCCAGAATTGAATCTCCTAGATAGCAAGAAAATTCTGATGCATCTGTTGGAATCCAGGTGTCTTCTTAGGGCCATCTTCCTCCTTTGCTGGTAACAGAAGCCCAGTTTTGTGCCTATTTCTAAATGGGCAACAGGGTACCCTGACCCAGGAAAGGAACTGAAGTGCGTGTAAGCCAACTGTGATTTTCTGACTCATCTTGACAAGGTATTTGTTCTCCAGCTTCCCCTGTTCCTAAGTACAGTTGAGCTAAGTCAAAGAAAGGAGAATGGCCCACACCACTCTGTAGACTCTATTTTGGATGCCATTCTGTGAAGGCGTGATGTGTAAGGTGCTCCAAACACCCCAACACAGCAAGAGGGAGACATATCCAGTGTTGGACATCACTGGGCAATAAATCCAGTCCCAGTAGTTACTGCCACATTTCCCACTGTGTGAATTATCAAGAGCAAACATTAAGTCCACCCTGCTTATTGTTTAAATCACGATTAGCTGGGTATTCCACTGACTGTAGCAAAAAGCATTCTGGATTTTTTTTTTTTTTTAACTACCCTAAGATACAGGCAGATGATTCAAATTCCAAGACTGGTCCAAGGTATCAAGCAATGGGTCTTTAAAGCCTAGAGCAATAACTTGGGACATATCAAATCAAGGTGCTCTTTCTGGGTCCTTCTGGACATTGTTTTCAACTCTTGTGCCCAGGTCCAAACTTGTCCAGAATTTAGGAGTAGAATGGCTAAGTTCACCAAGATAACTGGCCCCTTGTATCCACTATGATCTTAGCCTCCTGTAACCTTCACTCTGCTAAAGAAACCTGCAGGTCAAGACCTCTTCAATCTGAGGCACACAACCCTTGAGGTGACCCTTCCACAGGACAGCATGAAGGAAGGGGTGAATTTATTACTTTCTCTTTTTTTCCTCAGAGGTCATCAGAAGTTGTTAGTGCTTTGAGAGCCCATTCCAGAAAACTCCCTGACACTCAGCTTATGAGGGCAACCTCTAAATACCTCAGCCCTTCAGACAGGAGGCTGCTGAGGCAGGGACCCCTAGTCACACTTACCGGGGTCTGAAAGCAGCAAAAGAGCTGGGTGAGGAAGGGGTGATTGCGGGCCAGGGACAGGATCCTCTTCTCCGTCATCGTACATTCCACGTCATCATCCTGCAGGATCACATCCTTCTTCAGCACTTTCACAGCATAGAGGTCTCCTGTTTCTTTTATCCTGGCAAGCATCACCTAGGACAACACATACGCATGGGGGGGGGGCTTAGGGGATTTGGGGTTGGGCACACATGAGAAAGTGAGTGTGTACCCCTCTCCCCCACAGAAACAGCATGCACATAACATGCTTGTTACTTCAACCTAGCCAGTCAAAATCAAGTCTCACCTTTCCAAAACTTCCCTTCCCCAGTACTCGGATGAACTCAAAGTTGTCGATGCCAAATCGGTTGGAAGAATTAATACCGATCCCATTTCCTTCCTTGGAGCTCTCCTTTCCCTGCCTTCTTAGTGTCGACCTGGAAATGAGTTTCTGCAAAAAGGAAGAATACAGAACTGTGGTGTGAGCACAAGGTGAGGATGAATGGAGAGGCCTTCCTAGCCAGAGTGGTCTCAGGCCTCCACCCAGCATGTGAAGAAACCAGCTCAGCTGGGCAGCCATTTAGGTTCTACAACTCGAAACTACCCCACATCAGCATCTGTGCCCACTGCTACCTGGGAGATACATCCAAGTTTGTGCACAAAAGAAAAGAGGAATGCCCAAGGCAGGCCACTCCTGTTTCCTTTGCTGTGGCTTTCCCACGGAGCAAGCAGATTCCAGGAGCGCCACCTAGTGCCCATATCACGCAAAGGCTGGTTTTAATGTTTGCTCAGAGAACCTCAGTACCAGGTCATGAATGAACCAATGTTTTTTTTTAAAAATTCGAATTACAGGGCTGGAGAGATGGCTCCGTGGTTAAGAACATTTGCTGTTCTTCCAGAGGACCCAGGTTCGATTCCCAGTACCCACTTTGTGGCTAACAATGGTCAGTAACTCCAGTTCCAGGGGATCCGACACCCTCTTGTGGCCTCTGCAGGCATTACCCGCACATGGTGTGCTTACGTACATGCAGACAAAATACTCACACACACAAAATAATAGTAAATAAAATATTTCAAAATTTTTAAGTTAAATAAAGAAATAAAATTCAATGTAAAATAGAAACAAGCAAAATTATGATGAATAAAATGATAAATACCTAAAAGCTCATCAGCCTTCTCTCAACATATAATTAAATTGTTTTATAGTACACAGTGTTAAAAAATAGTCATGTTTACTTTCCAAACCTTTAAATACCTTCTGAGAACACAAAGCTGTTTTTGCTTAATTGTTTTTGGCTTTTGTTTGTTCTGAGGTATTGGGAATGGAATTCAAGACATTTGCATGCTGGGCAAGCACTCTATCACAGAGCTAAACCCCCACACAGAGAATGAGTTTAAATGACTACTCAGTGTTCTGTTTCACACACACAGACACACACACACACACACACACACACACACACACAATTTATTTACTAATGTTTTGCTATTGAAAATGCATGCAATCTCTACTTTTCACTGCAATAAAAATAACACCCTCCCCAATGATATACTTGCATGTGAAAATTCAAAACACGGTGAGGCAGAGTTCACATTCTGTCATTGCCTACCTGGGTTTAAATGACTGCTCCGCAATCTGGCTTGTGACCTGGAGCAAGTTACCTTATTCAGACTCAGTTTCCTCTTCTGGAAAGGGAGGTGATAGTACCTGCCCCATGAGTGACCACGAGGAATAAATAAGCAGATCCTCGGACAGGCTTGGGCAGGCACCAAGTCATGATCATCATCCATCTTCTTAAGATAGTTCTTTGGAAATGGAATTCCTTGGGTCAAAGTGTCAACCTCAAAGACTTTTTACTACACAACCAACTTGCCTTCTACAAAGATGAGACAATGTACACTCCCAAAAGGATAATGAGAGCCTGCTTGGGTCTTGGGCGCCACATCGTTCTTCACAGTGAAGACACTACCCAAAGGCAGGGGCAGGGTGACTTAAGCAGACAGACAGACAGACAGTCAGACAGACACACACACACACATACACACACACATATAACTTGTGAAATTTATAAGACAAGCTACCATCAGGCAACAAATCAAAAGTTTGACATCCTGGAGCTTTTGATCTACTTAGGTAAAAAGAGCTTATCTAAATGGACTTCTAAGCAACGCTGGAAATAAAGGAACTTCACCACAGACTGAAGCCTCCAGGAGCTGATTTATTTAATCCCATAAAACAGGGATTGCAGCATAGAAAAATGGGTCATCTTAAAATTTTAGTGGTTTTAATGGCTCTTCCTCTAAATCTCTCATCAATTTTCAGAGATAACAAAGTGGTACCCACTTTTAATTCACTTCCTCTATTTGCATACTTCCCCTGGTTGGGCCAAACATTCTAAGCCAGTGTTTCACAATCCTTTTAAACCCATTTTTCTCTTTAGTTAGACTGATAATTTTTTCTTTTTAATGCTTTACTGACAAGAAGTAAATCTGGTTTCTCCACTATTAAATATCATAACATTAAAGGTATCTGGTTCAAGTGACAAGGGGGCAATGTCATTTTGAAACTGTGACACATGGTCTATACCCTATTCCCAGTGTATTTTAGGATCACTAAAATCAGACTGAAATCCCTCATGCTTCCATTTCATGAAGAGCTGTCAGACCTTTTCAGGTAAAAGGAAACAATATAGTTAGTGCTGACATTTTCTAAGTTATTAAGAACCTCAGAGTGATTGGACTTTCAAAGTATCCAGAGATTACTTCACAGTTAGGTCTAGAATTTTCTGGACTTAGATCTCAAGCTACTCCTAACAGATCTCACAGCCATCAACTGTGGCTATTCCCTAGCCCTCTGCAGACACTGGCCAAAAAGGCAGCAGTAACAAGTGGGAAGCAGCCAAGGCTCTGATGGAGAGTACCAGGTGGAGGTCACTTAGGGAGGATACACACAAAACACATCCAGGGCAACTCAGCCACTCTACCCACTCCCAGGAGTCCAGAGGAAGGAGCTCTTGTCAGCTGCTGAACATGAAAGATAAATTCACAGTCCATAAACAAACTCAGCAGAGCTGCTGGAGCCCAGAGACGTCAAGAAGTGCAGGAAGCATCGAGCTCAATTCCTTCAGAGATGAAGAAGCTGAGGTTCGTGGCTACTGGCCAGTTGTCCAGCTTGGGCCCCAGCCAAGAGCAAAACCCAGGTCTCTGGGTTCTGAGCTTTTCACCAGACAATATCAATGGGAAACTTATATTCAAAGAAAATACTCTTTCTCTTGCTTCCTGATATACATGCATGCTCACTGTTTCTTGTGTAATTGTTTGGACTCTTATTTGTGGGATAAAATGCTTTTTAAAAGTGCAGTAGCCCTGTTCACAAAATTTGCAGAGATTCAAAACCTTGATGATCCCTCCTGTACTCCTTTGGGCTAGCCCCAAGTTTCAAACTATAATATATGCCAAAAGACAAAGGCTCACCGAGGTTGGAGAAATATTCCCGGGTTGGAGACCCATCCCTGCCAGGGTCTTGGCCAGCTCCACTGCATTCACCCCACAGTTAGGGGCCACATTCGCTTGACATCGAATATGTACATTCATTTTACATACTGGAGGAAGAGGAAAACAGAATCCATAGTCACAAAAGAACCAAGTCACCATATGCTACAGATAACTGATTACCTAAGGTTTATGACAGAGGAGTGATACAGGCTGGGCAATGCTAACTCACATTAGAGCAATTCCTGACATTTTATCTATTTCTGATTTGTGTGGAAGCAGAAATTCTGGCATGCTAAAAGAATAATAGATTTCAAATAATAGATTTCAATTTTTTTTCCATTATGACTTGATGGAATAGACTCATCTACATCACGTGTAACAGTCACTGCTGACTTAATAGCACAATCCAATATAAAGATTAAAATGTTCAGCACAGTGACAATCACAGTTCATTAAATAAGAAAGAATCATGTCAACCAATTTTATTCCTCTTCTTTCTCTCAACAATGAAATAAAAAAGTGGCGGTCTAAATGCTGTTCAAACAGCTTTAAAATGGTGTTTCTGAGGGAAGGGAGCTCTGTATAGCTTTTTTTTTTCCTGAGTGTCATTGTGGTCGGGTGGCCCGCGTAGCCCAGAGAGCATATCCTGTGGGGCTGTGGTTCTCAGTCTCTGCTGTCTGTGGTTCTGTTTTAAAAGGGGAAGAAAAAAAGTAACTTTTAAAGCATTTGAAGGTCGGGGTAATGGCAGCTGGAGCAGTAAGGAAAGTAAGTCACATTTCTTGTTCTTGGGAAGCTGCCTTGTGACAATGAAGGCTCTAAAGCTTAATCAGCAGAAATAAATTGTGATCTGGTTTCCTGAAATGCGTCCTGCTGATGGGAGGCTGAACCAAAGCCGTGTACAACAAATGCCTCTTTGATGGAGTTGGTTCGTCTGTGGAAGCACACGCCAAGCCAGACTTTATGGGGCTGGAGTTTCTGTCATTTAGGACGCTTTCTTTATGAAAAGGAATGCCACAGCGAGTGGAGAGGAACCCTGAAGCTTAAGCTTCATTAGCCTCATGGGAAATCGATGGATACAGAGACACAAGTTATAACCTTTCAGAAAGATCTTATGACAGTAAAAACAAAGGTTATGGGAACCAAGTCATTGCAGATGCACTACTCTTGGGCTACCAGGAACAGAGCACTGTAGATGGGCCTGTGCCTCACTCTGCAAATTAGCCAGAACTGTAAGAAAGGTGGCTCACCCAGGTGAGACCGCCAAGCTGGCACCAAGTAGCAGCTGAACAAAAGCCCCCAGATGCCTTACCTGAGCTGGCTGCTGTTTCAGGTAAACGAAAAGGTAAATATTACATGGCATGCTAGAGAGGCAGAAGAATTCACTCTTTTTTGTTTGTTTTGGTTTGCTTTTGAGACAGGGTGTCTTACTGTGTAGCCCAGGTTGGCCCTGAACCTCACTAATTAGATCAACTCTTGACAATCCTTCTGGATCAACTCTGTCAGGTGCTGGGATTAGAGGCATGAGCCACCACACCTGGCTAGGATTTGGTCCCTTTTGCTGACAGAAGTAGCCGATGCCAACTCGGCCTCCTCTGTTACTCTCCTGGTCCAGCAGGCTAGTCTGACTGATGAGGCTTCAGGTACACCTCATGACATCTAGATCATTACATATCAACGGGAGATGACCAAAGACCAACAGTGCCACACCCTCTAACTGGACAGAGCTCAGCCCTGACTCTACTCTGAGCCTCTGCAAAGGCAAAAGCTCCGAACGGCACTGGGCAGTGTTGGTGGGGTGCCAGCCCCCCACCAAAGCTTAGTGGGCTTCATTCCACCCACATCACAGAACTTGTGCAGCCCACTCATGCTGCTCTTGCTGTCTGCACTCTGACAATTCAGCTGCTGCTTACTTCTCCCGAGAGCATCAGACCTGCTCTCTGGCCAGTTCTTACTTATAACTCAATCTTCTCTAGGCCATCTCTCCCCCACCCCACCTCTTTCCATCTTCCATGCACAGCCAAGATCCCATTTTCCCTCTTTCAAATGCTTATTAAAAGCACAATGCCCAGTCTACACTCAGCATAAGTAGTTAACGACAGCAGGATAGATCACTGAACTTAACATTTCATTTAATGTTCTAATGTTAGAGACTAGATATAGTTCTTTTTGTATGCCTGACAAATGATATAGTAGCATAAGACCATTCAGATGTTGCCATGGAACATATCAGAGACATCAATCCTAGGTCAGATCCTGTGCCTACATGGCTCCGAAGGCTGGTGGAATGGCATTTCCATAAAGAAGTGGGAAGTCACTGCCTCTGCCACTTACTTTTACACTGAAGTCCTTGTCGCATTATCCCCCAGAGCAGGGAGCCGCAGTGATCACAGAATGTGGGCACCTTATAGTTGTGAATGTTGAACTTGTGTGGGATGTTGATTCCAAACCTCTGTTCCGTAGTCTAGGAAAAAGGGAACAAGCAAACTTCGGATCAACACCTTTTGTAGCAACTGTAACGGGAGCCTGGCAAATGCAAAGTGTTACGATGACACCTGAGCTGAGTATATTATTTCACTATGCTCAGCTCTGGTTAGTTACTCAGGTCTCAGTAAGTTTTTTTAATGCACAAGACACAGGGAAGAAACCTGGGGTCTATATTATACCATTCACCATTTGGAGACAGAAGTAGAAATTTTTTCCTTTCACCTTTTCTATTCAGGCCACAGTTCTGAATAGGACTGTGGCCATTTCATTCATTCAGCCTTTGTATGACTTAAATTCTGACTGTCAGTGCAAACATGGTGACTTTATTTCATGCACTGTTTCTGGTAAACATCCACACTGGCCATACACTCTGTGGTCTACTTCACTGTTTGAAGCAATAACTACAGGTCCAACATGAGAAAGCATAGGGCAATGATTACTTCTCTCTGGACTTTTCTGGCCTCTTTCCCATATAACCCGTGGTCCATACCTCTCTGGATGTTCCCTCCTTAGCTCTTCTACATGTACGTGGTCAAGTCCTACAGTTAGACTTTTCCAAGCATCCGCAAATCCACTGTCAGCAACACTCCACCTGATTTCTCCCTTGTGAATTTAGAATGTGTGCCCATCTCAGACAAATGCAACAGGAGCTTTTAAACACATAGACATCCTCCCTGGGGTTCCTGAGAAGCTGCAGGAGGTCCACAGTCTCTTTGTTTAGCAAGCATGATTTATAGTTAACATACTTGTCAATTCTATTTATCTCCCACAAACATGAATGAGCAAAGTATTGATGCAGTTTTCAGACCAAGGCACAGAGAGGGCATGGGCCTGGCTGAGCTGACAGAGGACCACTAGTCAAGGTCATGCTCAGTGTTCCAATGCAGGTGCTGGCAGGCCAAGCACAGGCCTGTTTCATTCCACTAGGGCTCTCGCCACATTAGCAGAAATAATCTATACAGGCCTGCTTAGCTGACCTCTGACTGAGTCTTCAAAAAGTGTTATGTTTTGGGGATGGAGAGATGGCTCAGCGGTTAAGAGCACTGACTACTCTAACAGAGGACCCAGGTTCAATTCCCAGCACCCACATGGCAGCTAACAACCATCTGTAACTCCAGTTCTAGAGGATCTGATGCCTTCTTCTGACCTCCATGGGCAGTGCATGACATGAGTGCACTTACTCACATGCAGGCAATATATTCATACACATAAAATAAAAATAATGTATTTTTTAAAAGTGTTACATTTTGAATGTGAACGATCTCACAGACTCATGTTCTGAAGATGTGACCCAGGCTGGCAGTGTTATTTTGGGTGGCTGTGGAACCAGAAATATATTCTTAGGAGCAGAATTCATTTTATTTTATGTGTATGAGTGTTTTCCCTAATTGTATGTAAGTGTACCATGTGCAGGCAATGCCTGCAGAGGACAAAAGAGGGTGTAGGGGCCCCTGGAACTGGAGTTACAGATGGTTGTTAGCTACCATGTGGGTACTGGGAACCAACCCAGGTCCTCTGCAAGAGCAGCCAGTACTCTTAACTACTGAGCCATCTCTCCATCCCCCTCAGGGTAGGATTTAAAAGGTAATATCCCACCCTTAGTTCCAGGCTATCCTTCCTCGCCACCATGATGTCAACTGTTCTGCCATACCAACCCCTCCTTGTCATGGTAGTCTGAAACCATGAAGCAAAATAAGCCTTTCTTCCCTTACATTGTGAACAGAAGGCATTCTGTCACAGCCAGGCAAAAGTAACTAACAGACAAAGTGAGGTCAAACCACAAGAGGACAGAAATGCAAATTAGAGCACCACTGTGGGAGGTGCCGTTGGAGAGCTGACCCTGAACCAAGGAGGCAGGGAAAGTGGAGGGTGGGGAGAGAGCACACACAGAGAACGGGTGCTTAGTCAGGAAGCCAGCAGCCTCTTACCTTGGCATCCACTTTGTTAATATTGTTTTGGCAAGTGCAGGCTGTAACAATTAGATGATGGCAGCGTTTATGGACGACGCAGGTGCACACTAGGAAATTAAATCCAGCAATTACACATTTATCAGAGGTTCCCAGCCACTTACAGCAGTCAACGAAGACTGCCCATGCCATCGTGACCTGACATGGATATCTGGCCACATACTGGTACCCAGAACTCCCATCCTTCCTACTTCCATTGACACCATCTTAACAAAGACCTTTGTTCAAGCTCAAACTGTCCTCAATCAGTCCTGAGCTTATTTCCTGGTCCTGACGTTAGTCCATCCTGCACCCACCTCCAGAGGAGCCTTCTCAGTATCATTCTGGTCACATCTGTCTTATGACTGAACATTTCCAATGGTACCTCGTTGCCATCAACAGCGTTCAAACCCAGCCAGGTTCCAGACCCCTCAGAGGTCACCCCAGCTACATGACATTTCTTTTCTATGAGACCCATTTGCTTCAATAAAACTAAACTACTTGATCTTTCTAGAACAAGTCTTCCTTCTTTCCTAGAGACTACTAATGACACCCTTTCTGACCTCTAAGACACCCTACTTGCCTAGTGACTGACTATATCTAAAGTTTATGACAAGAAAAAACTCAAAGAATACCTCTTCCAAGACAATATCCTATATCTGCTCCTTCCAGACCCAGACCATCTCCCCTCCTCCTTTGATTTCCTACAGTCCCTCTGCCTGTCCCCTCACTTAAAATATTCCACACATGGCCAAGTCCTGACCAGAATTCCCAACATGATGCCTAGTGCTAAGTAGCCAATTCAATAAAAATTTGCTACATGGCTCAATCAGTTGTCTGAATATTTTTCTCATTTTTGGCAAGATAAGGACATAACTCATAAGGAATACACTTGTCATTAAAGAATGAGCACGTGTAATGACACAAAGTAAAAACGCACATCATTGCATGTCCTCTCAAGACATGTGGGAACTGTGAGGATTAAGCACATAATGGTAGGCGACATGTCAGCAAAGAGCATTGTCCCCAACACATCTAATTTTCAGCAGATTGAATTCACAGGACCACTGCATTGAAAGAGTCTAGAGAACCATTCTTTGGGTATGGGGATGCCAAAGTCACCCTCCACACAGAGAAACTTTATTTTACAGACAGATGGTTCATCAACTTTGTTGATATTAAAGCGCTAGCTTCTGGTGTCATGAAATGTTCTCTGTTGTTTCCTGAGGTTTTCAACTTTACTGGGTTGTGCTCAAATACTATAATTTCTTTTCTTCTGCTCACTCTAGGTTTCAATTTCCCTTCTTTCCCAGGCTTCCTAAGGTGGGCATCTAGATTACTAATTTTATTTATTTAATTTTTTGAGACAGAGTCTCTCTGTAGCCCCAGTTGGCCTGAACTTGCTATGTAGACCAGTTTGGGCTGGATCTCAACAGAGATTTGCCTGCCTCTGCCTCCTCAGTGCTGGGATTAAAGGCTTGGGCCACCAAACTCAGGTCTAGATTACTAATTTTGATATTTCTCCTTTCTAGTCCCTGTATTTAATGCTATATATTTTTACCTGAGCATAGCTTTCACTGTACCCCACATATTTTGGTGAAATACACTTTATTTTTACTTGGTACAAGGTATTTTTTATGTTTTCTCAAGTTTTCTTTGACTTGTGTGTTACTTAGAATTTGTTGTTTTAGTTTTTCAGTTACCTTTCAGCTTTGATTTCTAGTTTCACGTCATTGTGGATTGAGAGGATAATTCTTTTAAAATTTTTTAAATTGTGTGTGTGTGTGTGTGTGTGTGTGTGTGCGCGCAAAGAAGTCAGAGACAGCTCTCTGGAGCGTCACTCTTTGTGATCCTGGGATAAAAACTCAGGTTGCCAGGCCCGCACACAGGGCTTCTACCTGCTGAGCCATCCTGTTGGCCCCAAAAGATGACTCTCTTTTTTCTATTTTTTCCACATTTGTTGAATTAGTTTATGGTACAGAGTGTGGTCTCTATGGTGAACGTTCCTCATGCGTTTGAGAAGAATGTGTAATCTGCTGTAGTTGGCTGGTGTTTGCTACAAATGTCAATTTGATCAAGCTGTGATGGTGCTGTTTGGGCCAACCAAAGGCCAGTGCTTTTCTGCCCGCTGAGTCTAGCGATTACTGGCAGACTGAATCTTCCGACGCCAGAGGTGGGCTTGTCTGTTCTGCCTTGTAGTTCTATTTGTCTCATGCGTTTCGCCTGCCTATTGTTAGGAACAAACATGTTAAACACTGTTGGTCTTTCTGGAGAATTGACCCTGTTATTATTACATAGTGGTCTTTCTATTTCTGATACTCCGCCTTGCCCTGAAGCCCACTTTGTCTGAAGCTCCTTCCCTTTGCTTTTGATGAGGGTTAGTATAACATACTTCTCTCCTACCAGGCATTTGGCTTTATATCCCTCAGCAAGATGTGAACAAAGGCTTCTCATGCCTCCTGACTAATGTTCTTTCTAGCTCTTTAAATAGCAGGTGACCTGCTGAAAGTTGGCTAAGAAACACCCGCACACTATATGCTGGGAGAAAAAGAAATAAAACAACAAAAGACATACCTTCTAAATCATGTATTTTAATTTGTAAACTTTCCCCTTGTATATATGGAGCTTCTCAATTCATCTTAGAAAGTATAAGATGGATGTATCACCACAGGGCACACCCCATCTTAGGAGGCTCAGGCTAAAGAGTGATATCGACTTGGCTTATGAGCTCTCTTCTCACTTAGGACTGAATTTATAGCACGCAGGTCAATTACTACTGTTGTACTGATTATATACTTAGTTTTTAAGCTTTGAGAATTCAGTGGAATTTTTCATATATATCAAAGTCAAAATGAGATCCAAGAGTATGTTTTAATCAGTTCTTCAAAAGGAAAGAATGTGTTACCTCACCTCCTCCAAAACAGAAGGTGGATTTTCTTATTCACAAATAGACAACCACTCTAGGATACGTAGTGCTATGCTGCCAGTCATTTACAGAGTAAAAATCAAAATGTGAATGCGTGACAACACTCAAGCCAGCAGTAAGGGAGCCCCAACAAAGGGACAGGAGGACCTGGCCACATAAAGGCACATCAGAGGGGGCTTCTCTCTGTTTTCTTTTGTCGTACATGAACAGGGACACAGGTATGTGATTTTACCTTAGAATTATGAGAATAAAATGCATTTACTTTTGAAATGTTTCTCACTTGGTGGGGGAGGTATTTAGATCCAACGCATGACCTGGTATATGCTACACAATCTCTCTTTTACTTTTTAAAAAAACACAAAAATTTAAAAAGAAAACCAATTTGCATAATAGCATCCATTCCCTAAGCAAGTAAGGCGAACGTGGCAGAAGGCCGCTTCTCACCCTACCAACAATGCAGCATGAATATCAAATATTTATCACCTAGACTCAAGGAGATGCTCAGAAATGGCTCTTCTTTTCAGTCTTCTTATGTTACTACAGAGACAGACTTTAAGCAGTGAAACTTTACTGGGTCTCCTGACTTTAGAAACAAATATATTCCTCTATATTGTCTAAGACATCCAGGATCTGATAAGAACTAGAGTTTGCTACATGGGGTCTCATTTGACCTGGGGAAACTTATCACAGTATTGATGGGGCACATCCTGTTTCTTCTTGGTATTATCATTTTTTCACAAAAGAACAAGATCAAACATGAATATAAACACGTTTTCTTACCTTGGCATTGATAACCCTGTTTCCCAAACACTCCCCTGTTCAAGAAAAAAGAGAAAAAAAAAATACCATCATTCAAATAGTTCAGCAATAATGTCCTATAATCCTTAAAATGCGCTTTGTTCTCTGATCCCTTGTGAAAAACAATTTCAGGAAAGAGACACAGACAGTGTGCTTTTCCGAGCTCTTGTGAACAGCATGCACAAAGAAAATTACCTGATGGATTATAATGCTCCAGGTGACATAATCAGTAGGTGATGATGATTCCCATTCCACCTACGATCAGCCACCTCCTAAATCCTGAGTGAAAACCAACGCCCGCCCGTGTGCAGAGGACTGAGCTCAGTCAAGACCTCCTCAACAGCTTCCTCCCTCTCACATACATGGGAAGATGCACATATGTCACCGTACTCACACACAGAGACAGACTGACAGACAGAGGATGATGCACAGATGTTGCAATAAACACACATGGAGACACATGCAGATGGATGAGAGAGAGGGAGGGAGGGAGGGAGGGAGAGAGGGAGAGAGAGAGAGAGAGAGAGAGAGAGAAAGAGAGAGAGAACACCCTGGTAAGCATACTGCAGCTTCCGGGTGCAGTACTCTCCCTTGTCCTGTACCCACATTACCCTCTGGAGTCCACAGGAGGGCAGAAGTGACTACTTGCCATTCCGGTCCAGAGCCTGTCTTTCTACCTGTCAGCCAAGATGTTCTATGGCTGTCCTCATGCATGCATGGGGGGTGAGGGTGGGTGATTCTCTTTACAAATACTGTAAGTATGCCTAACTTTGCCTCTAATTGAAAATAGTGATTGCTTAAATTTATTTTCTGCTGTAAACTTGCTGTTATTTGTTCAGTTTTATGTCATATAAGATATTGCCCCAAGTCTTTAGAATTTCTCAACCTTTAATCATGTTAGTTCCTAACTGCCAGATAGTAGATTATAATATAGGATCACTAAATGCTATTACCTTGCACTATGTGCCATGAGCCTGAACACTACTTGAGGGCTTAGTTTTCTTGCAACAACTAGTGTCCATAACTCATCACATGATCCATGCCTTCTTCAAAGCAATACTATTGATGTTCTTTTCTTCCAGGCCAGTTTTCTGATGTAATCTAATCACGAGCTTTTTATCAGCTGATCAGCTTCCCTTTCAGATTCATGATTTTTGATTCATTAGCACCTTCACTGAAATTATTGGTAAAAATAAATAGTATCCAGCACTTGGATTTGTAAATTATTTAGTTTTGTTACTGTTTTAGCAGTAGGATTAAAATGACTGGGCAAACTTATTAAAAGAGAAGTCAAGGGGCTGGAGAGATGGCTCAGCGGGTAAGACCACTGGCTGCTCTTGCAAGGGACCAGAGTTCGAATCCCAGCACCCACATGGTGGCTAACAACTGTCTGCAAGACATGGGTCTACTTATATACATGCAGGCAATACACTCATACATATAAAATAAAAATAATAAGGAAAACATTGAAAGAGAAGGCAAAAATTCGAACGTAAGAACAATTCCTACATTATAACCCCATTTTCTCCTGAATCACACATAAGCCTCAAGTAGAAAGAGACTGGGGGTGTGGAGAAGAGTGTGGGTCTTACCAGATGAACTCCCGGCAGTGAGAGCAGTAGGTGGGCTGCCTCAGGTATGTGGCCATAAACTTGTGCCCATTGACCTGGTGGACTCGCCTTCGCATAGCTCTTTGGCGCTTCCTGGTAAAATGCTTGAAGATGCGGTCTCTCTGGAGGGTGGCTGCACATTCAAAGAAAAGAAAAGAGAAAACTGTGGGCTGCAGATATGGCTCAGTCAATAAACTGCTTGTCATAGAAGCATGAGGACCTGAGTTCAGATTCTCAGCACCCATTTAAAAAGCCAGGCATGGTAGTACAAGGCTGTAATCCCAGCTCTGGGGCTCTCAGGAGAGTGGAGACGAGAAGATCCCAGGGGCTAACCAGCCTAGCCAATCCATGAGCTCCAGGTTCAGTGCTCTTAAAAAATCAGGTGGAGAGTGATAGAGGAAGACACTCAATGTCAACCTCTGGCCTCCACATGCATAGGCACACACACAGTGTCATGTACATATACCCACAATACCACACGTGAGGAAAGAAATCTAGGGACTGGAGTGATGGCTCAGCAGTTAAGAGCACTGACTGCTCTTGCAGAGGACCTGGTTCAATTCCTGCACCCACATGACAGCTAACAACCATCTGTAAATCCAGTTCCAGAGGATCTGATGCCCTCTTCTGATCTCCATGGGCATTGCATGACACAGGTGCACTCACACACATGCCAGCAATACACTGATACATGATAAAAAGAAAGAAAATATGATAAATTTGACTATACTTAGTATATGAGAAATTCAGATAGTTCAAATACTCTCTAAATTATTTTTAATTTCTTTAATATTGAAAAAGCCTTGGAAAGTATGCTTTACTAATGACCTTAGGATTGTTTGTTTGTTTTTGTAGTCATGGGAATTGAATCTTAGGCCTCAAACATACACCATACCACTAAGCTACATACCCAGTCCTTTTTCTATGTTTTTATTTTGAAACGTGCTCATCCTGTAGTCTGACGGATCTTGAACTCCTGATGCTCCTGCCTCAGCCTCCTTAGTAGTTGGGATTACAGGCCTATACTAACAGGCTTGTCAGGACTCTTACTTTTTTTTATGGACATGAGCATTATGTCTGCATGTACGCAAGTGCATCTGTGTCATGCAATTCCCACGGAGGTTAGAAGAGGACATCAGATGCCCTAGAATAGTTCCATGTGGGTACTGGGATCTGAATCCAGGTCCTCTGCAAGAGCATCCAGTGCTCTTAACTACTGAGCCATCTCGCCAGCCCCGGGACTTTAACTTTTTAAGGTTACATTTATGTGAACCCCTGAGATCCTACTGTCTGGTTGAAACTGGCTATCTTGGGCTAATCCTCCAGCATAGACAAGAGTTTCCCAGGGGTCCTATGCATGGTCTCCTAGCTGCTCTATAGATGCCTGGCACATCAGGTGCAGCTATGGGCTATAAGTGCTGGCTAAGGAAACAGTTTCTCCTTCACTTCTGGTGTCCTCACCAACTAGATGAAGGAACTTCCCAAATGCAGTCAGCATAGAACTACCTGTTAACCAAGACAAGGCAGCAAGTAAGGGGTGGGTTCAAAGTTTTCTAATCCCACATTTTAAAATAGTGACACCTCAGATAAGACCCCGGCATGGATCGGGGAGGCAGGCAGAAATTTCCACTCATAACCAAGGAGCTGCTGGGAGAGAAGAGTCAGTTCTCTTTAAGGATGTGGTCCCTGTTAGGTCAACAATGCTCCAGGGCTGGTACCACTCTCAAGAGTATTTGGGCAACATAATTTGGACTTGATGGGGTCAGGGGAAAGGCACATAAAGGTGGCTGGGTAGGGAGGTATAAAGCCCTCAAAGAACTTATTTTGAAGATTGAAAAAAATAGTGGCTCCTAATCTGAAGACCTTGAGAACCATACTCCATCTAAAGATAAAACTAGGTCTTCCATATCATTATGCTAGGCTTTTCCCAATGCACACAAAGGCTTGGGATGAATAAAATAAACCTTACTTCCTCCATGATGTTCTTAAATAAGTCACTAGTGCAAAGGAAATTTAAGGAACTAAGTGAGAATAATTTGCTAATAAATTTAAAATCCTAGAGGAAAGAGAAGATTGACAGATAATAACTTGTACAACTTTATGGGGTATAAGCACAATGCTTCAACATATTTATTTATTCACTGTGAACTGATTGACATAGGAGACATAGATTATCGCTCATCTCAAACATTTATCACTTCCCTGTAAAGAAAACATTCAAACCCCTTTCTTGCAGCTATATTGAATTATATGATACAATATCATTAACTATAACCACCCTCAGCACAATGAAACACCAGGACCCTTTCTTCCTATCTGGTTGTGACTTTGTACTCAATTTCTAGAATAATCTCAAATATATGTTAGGGAGGAATTGTAAAAAAAAACAAGACAGCACAGAAAAATATTTTACGTCGTGGATGGCATAGGGGTTAACAAACTTCTAATGCCTTAAAAGGTTCACAGATTCACAGCTTAGAAATGTAAAGTTCTGATCTCCAAAACACACAAAGCAAAAAAATGATAGTAACAACTTAGGGAGAAAAAAGGAAAAAGTTTCAAAAACTGTATCTATTTCAGGCATATTTTTTGGAGACTAATTTGATTATATCTGACAAAGTTTTAAATGTGTATTTCTTCCCATTCAGCAAATAATTTTGTTTTTTATAAAAATATCATTAACCAAGAATGTATCTGCTATCTAGATATCAGTCACTGCATTATTTTGCCAGTAAAAAGTAGGGTCAGCTGGGTGCAATGGCACACCTATTAGTACCAGGTACCCAGGAGACTGAGGCAAGAGGATTGCTTGAGCCCACAGATTTGAGGCCCACCTGGGTAACAGAGCTGTAGGAATGAATTTTACAATATGGACATAATCTGAACTAAAGACTTCTTAAACTCACATTCAAAAAGTTACTGTTTATAATGTAAACAAGTTCACTGAGCCATGTGTCTTTCTGGTGACCTGAGCATGGGAACTTAATCCCTCAGAAAGCCTCCTTGCCCTCCACCAAGATAGTGAATGAATGTGTGTAAGTAGGCTTTGTATATCAAAACTCTGAAAACAGTGTGTTTCTCATTGAAACAATGAGAAAATTGAGCGAGCATGTGTGATATTCTAGGCCTACAGCTCAAATGGCAAGATTCTCTTATAAGTCTGGGTCCTGACTTCTACTTCCCCAACTCATGCTGATTGAAATACTGCTTCAATAAAAGAATGAGCACCCTGATGTGAGAGCACAGTTCCATAAGACATCTGAAAGGTTCTCAACAGATCAGGTCCAATCTTGGCCTTATGAATGCTAAGAATAATCAGGCTGTTTCTTTTTTAAGCATTACCATAATGTGGCTTAGAAATGCCACATAGACTGAGACCCTGAATAAAAAAAAATTTTTAAATGGAAAATAAATTTAAAAGACATGAAAGAAAAAGGGAGACTATTAGACCACTAGAAGATGATTCTAGGTAACAGGTGGGATCAATACAATCAAAGTTCCTGGTATACATGTATGAAAATGGCATATTGAAACTCATTAATAATAATTTTGTACAGTTAATATACACCAATAAAAGATATGGAGGAAAGTGGAGTCCACATTAGAAATCCCAAGGAATAACATGCAAAAATACCCAAAATGAATTTGGCTAAGGAGCCCGTGAATTCAGACAGTTAAAATTGTACTTGGTTCTCCCTGTGGCTGAGATGTGCAATGTCTGGCCTGCCACCTAATTACTTTCTCTGTCAGGTTTTCTATCTGTCTCAAGAAGATAAAATAACACCCACATCCTGAGCCCTGTGAGAATAGAGTCATATCAACATTCCTGGCAGGTTCCTACACTTTGGACAAGGGTTGCATAAGGACAAGAAATCACTGTTCTGCCCTGGAATGGCAGACTCTTCCTCCAGGACACTACCAAAAGTCACTTAATAACCCCAAAGTGAACAGGTTCTAAGGGTCCCTGGTCAGCGGTGATAACGTGAGGCTGAAGGGATCAGCCCATATCTAGCCCATGTGATCACCAGCCTGAGACCCAGCTCAGTACTGGCCAAAGCAGGATGTGTATTGAATTACTAAACACTTATCATACCTACATGCAAATTAAATTTTCCCTAGGAGTCTAATTACCAAGAACTTACTCGTTTAATCCTTTAATACTATAAAGATTGGCTAAAAGGTCAGCTCACTTGCATTTTTAATATTTTATGAATTAAATCCTTTCTGTTTCCTCAACAGCTATTACCATACTAGTAACATGAACGATGAATTTTCCAGATGATTTTTTTCTAAGCAGGAATACTTAGACGAATCTACTCCTCTACACTACTCCTGTCTTGATACATTTACTCCTGCCTTTGGCCCTTTCCAGAAGACTGTTTTCTAACTAGACTTATCTTAATCCTACCTGCCTCAGAGCCTGAATGGCCTCCTTCAAATCTTCAGGCAAGTGAAATGCCTATCACTATTCCCACAGTAGCCTGGGAGTATATCCCAATCTTCCCCTTCCAGTCAACCCTGTGGGCCAGCTTTCCTTTGCCTGTGTTCCAGGTGCCTCTCATACACCTATCCATGGACAGGGACTCCAACTCAGTTCAACCCTTCTCTCTGCATTCTTTTCCACATGAACCTTTTTGTTTCAAAGCAAATGCACCCACACAGACAAACGCAGATACACACAGGCACAGACACACAAACACACACACAGACACACACAGACATACACACATCCATTCCATTTGCACACATCTGGGAATCTGCAAGACATATGGTCACCTAATCTGTCTGGCATCTGCATGGTTTCCAGTGGCGTTCAGTGTCACCGTCCTCTTGGTTCATCTACAGACTTGTACCCCCCCTTCATAACCTGAGTAGAGGGAACTTCATCATTTGCACCAGCCTCCTGTTTACTCAAGACCAAGTTTAAAAGGCTATAAAAAAACTACTTAATCCTGTTGTGTCTTACACCAATCTGGGCTCTGAGACATCTTTCAAATCACATTTCAGTTAGACACGTCAGGCAACCCTAACATGCTTTGCAGCCAAAACTTGCATCACAACTTCTGCTTGGCTCCCAAGGTGCCCAGGGCCTCTTAAATAAATAGGAAGCTGCCTCTGAGCCCCAGTAGGGAA